AATGCAAATTGCCTTGCTACTACATTCATCCTCCATTGTTGGAATTATGCATGGATGAAACATTTATCTCTGTGATGTTATCAAATACTGGTGTGATCTGAGGCATTTCTAAGGAGATAACATGGTGTTACATTAGTAATGTTCCCATTGCTGGCATAAGTTGCTATGTAATTTCCAAGAAATACCCTGCAGGTACATAAATAAGTTATATCATTTCTGAATGTATTCATTTTGCATTACAAAAAGCTTAAATTCACACTGTCCTTAAAACCTCAGGCATGGTTGTTGTGAAGAATAGCTCAAATATCAGACTAGGTATAATTTTTTGTGTAGAGGTTCCTAGTCTTTGGTAGCACTCACAGGCAGGGTTGAGTAGACATGAACTCCTTCTTTTGGAGACCCTCCTTTTTTCTGTTGGATCAGAATTTACCCTCTTTTCATCCTGGCAGTACACCACAGCACACCAGCAATTCTGGTAGGAGAAAGTCTGTTATCTCTACTATGCACAGGTGACTAACTATCATACAAAACACTGCTTTCTTTAGGCTAAATGGACACAGTAACAGAAAGAGAAAATATGGAAGAAGTTCAGCTGTCATGTCTTGGATAGGAGTGTATGTAGGTGCATGCCATGGTTCATTTCTAGCTATACCTGTGGAAGGATTTAGACAACTTCTGGAGCGAGCCAGTGGTATGTTTTCTTAATAAGTACCAATTCCCATTTGGGTCCTTGCCCATCAGAAGTGTAAATGTGCACCAGTACTGGTTTTGCCCAAGGTAATAACTTCTGATGAAAGGTCAGGTTGGTTGCAGTAATTGTTTACAGGAGCGTAGATGCCTTGCACAACTTTGGAAGGAGTAAATCAGATAAAACCATGCTCCCTGTTTGTTTTTTTATCACTACTCCTACAGAAATTTAAAGGACACTTCCCCAGCAGCTCTAATTTCAGTGTGGTTTAGGGAGGCGGTGTGATTCAGCGGGCTGGACATGGGTTTCCTCATTCGTAATATTAGTTATTATTACTTAAACCTATTCTGAGAAATATGGGTGAAAAACTAAGTTATTCCTCTGAAAAAGATTATTCTTACTGGGACTCAAACTAAAAAAAAAAAGAAGAAAAGAAGAGTAGGTTGAGTATCTCCATATGGTAAAATTCTTGGAGCTGGCTTCTTTGAAGGGAGGCAGGTGGCCAGCTTTGGACTGAGGGATCTCAGCTGGAAGTCTTGGACCATAGCACATATTATGCTTAAATGTTCATAACTGAACTGAACTGCTGACCTGCAGTTGAAGGTGTATAAGTTACAGACAACTGGTATTTGCTGACAGAGAAGCAGGAGAGGCTCAGGATCCTGGTTCCCCCTGGAGTTGTGCAGAGGAGCTGCTCCCAGTGAGCACAGACTCTTTTGCTCATTTTTCCAAACATCACGGTTTCTTCTCTGTTCCCTCCAAAATGATCACTTCCTAGACCTATCTCATCCCTGGGCTAGACTTCCCTTTCCAAGCTTGAATTTCTGTGCCACTACAATGCCTCTTTCCATCCTTCCGCTCGTTGCCCAGCCTATCTGAATCTCCCTCTCCAAGTGTCTTTCTCTGGCCTTTCTCCTGCCTCCTTTCCTCCGGCTCTCAGTCCGAGCCTGGCGTTTCAGGGGCAGCTGGGCCAACATGAATAGCTCACCCCTGCCGAAAGGGAGGAGGAGATCATGTGCTTTGTCTTCTTTTGCTTGTCCGCTTCCAGACATACAAGATTGTCCACCCCAGTATACTCATTTCCTTCTCCACTGTGCTGGCTTCTTTCTCTTTTTCACTGGCTTCGAAAAACTCCTTCTGTGTGAAGCAGCATTTTTGATACTAAACAGTACAAAAGACATCATTTTGTGATTGTTGCTTTCGGGCAGCCCCTGATTAAATAAGCTGCTGCCCTCTCTCCTCCTCTTGGTCGCCAGCTTTCCCCTCTTGTGCCAGCACGGATGCCCCTGCAGCCACAGTGGGAGCTATACTGGGAAACCAATCTTGGTTAGAAGTAACCCAGCCCCAATAAAAGGTTCTTCTTCTCTCAGACAGGGCCATTGCACAGATTTGGACTGATGCAACTGAAGGAGTGGTAGGAAGCTGATGCTGAGGAGTTGCGTAAATGGGTGATATGCTAAAAAAATCTTAGTGAAACTTCAGTCATTTCCTTCCATGTTTCAGTTCCTAGTCTGCCCCACCAAGATGAGAGTTCTTCAGAGTCCTCACAGTCAGGAGCAGGGCTGGCAGGAGGAGCTGAGCCTGCAGCTCCATGTGCTCTGTTTTGGCAGTGGTTCTGACTTGAGGAGATTTCCCTCCTCATGTTTTCAGTGTATTCCTGCCTTTTCATGGTAAGCTGAATCAGCTTGCTGCTCTGGATGAAGGATATTTTCCTCCTGTCCTCCACCCTGGTTTGTTTGTGTTTTTTTTTTTTAAATCCAGAGGAGTAGATCCTGTTTGCCATGTGGCTGTATCACTGCAATGTGGGTGGGGTGGCAGCAAGTAGCCAGGATGGAGGGAACATTCCCTGTCAACTGGCGCTAGCTCCGAGAGAGAGCCATGGGGCCACCCGTGCCGCTGTGACTCCAGCAGTGTTACGGAGAGGGGGCATCTGCAGAGAGGCCCAGCCTCACCCTGGTGCATCTTTCCTAAGCCTGTGCAAACAGCAGGTTGTCAAACATTTACAACATTGCATAAGCCCAGCTCAGATGGATTTGAACGGGGCTAAAGCCATGTTGCTGACACAGAGGGTACCGTGAGCAAGATTTCAAATTCTCACCCCAAAGCATGGAGCAACAGAGCTTTCCCCATCCTTGTTTTTCCTAGCTTTATTCATAGAAACCAGTGGACCAGTTTGCCTGAAATAAAAGAAGCATACTCCTTCACACACACAGTTTAGCATAAATACCAAAGCTGAAAAATGATCGCACTTGGAAAAAAAAAAAAAAGTCTTATCTGTAATGAGGAATGCTTAATAATCTGCTGCTACTCTAGTAACACTTAATATATTTTTGCTCTGAGAAATGAATGTATTAACTGGACTTGTATTCTATAATATAGTTTGGAGACTTCTGGCATTTTAAGTTCTGAGAACTTTGATGGCCTATCAATCACAATATTTGTGTCGTACCTTCAAGATAATTAGTGAAACATAACTAGAAAACCCATGATTTAAATAACAGTATATTTGTTATAAATAATAAGGAAAGATCCAAACTGCAAAGCGAGGAAATGCTACCATGTGTCTAGCAGCGACTTCTTGCAGCTTTGTCTTCACCTAACTTTTTGAGCGTTGGCTTTTAAGGTTAGAGTCGTTACATCTTTCTGCCCTTCCAGCTTCCAGAACACTTTGAGATCTGCTGTAGCATCAATTACAACAACATGCTGGTAGCAGAAACAGGCAGGCAAAGCTCACCTGCACAGATTGTAGTTGGCTTAGAAGGCTATTCGTGCTACCCTT